TGAAAGGAACAGAGCTCCTAACATCTGAGAAGAAAATTTACACCACAACCATATGTGTTTGTTTTTAAACACTGATGTACACCTGAAAAGCTGGGGGGTGGGGGGTAACGACTCACTGAGTGTGCAGGTAAGTTACAACAGGGACTTGAAAGCCCGGAATGGACATCAAGTAATTCCAATAGGAACAGTGCTGTAAAATGGACGTTCCTCCATTGCTTTGTATGCCAGCAAGATGGCTAGGCAGGCAGAGGTGCTTGCCACCAAGCTTGAGGGGCATTCTGGAACCCACACAGTGAAAGGAGAGAATGGCCATGCACACATGTGAATACACATACACACACACACACACACACACACACACACACACACACGGACGACTAGAAATGTAGAAGACAATAATATACTTATTTACAGAAACAGGGCTATGTGTATATATTAATGCCTGTTTGGAGGACCATGTACATTTTCATGTGTGATTTTAAAGTTACAAATTAAACTCAGCCCATGTTTAACAATTCCATCTTGTCAATTCAATGAACTTAGACTGGAAAATATTTGGGGGAAACTGTATCTGTAATGAACATATACAGGCTTTTCTCGGTCATTCCCTAAATATTAAAAATGTCAACTACTTGCACCACATTTCTGTTCTATAAACACAATATTGAGAAATGATTTCAAGTATAACAAATGATGAGTATTTGGGTGTAGGCAAATACTGTGTTGTTAAATATAAAGAACTGGAACATCCTCAGATCTGGCTTTCTTTAGAGATCCAGAAACCAATCACATTTGGACTTTGAAGGTCAAGCAAACATGGAATAATTGTTTGATTTGCTTTCAGACAAGGGTATGTAGTTCTGGCTGGCCTAGAACTTGCAAGTCCCCTGCTTGTGTGTCTCTGGTTCTAAGTTTACATGTCTGCACCACCATACTTATGTGATGAGAATTCTGGAATTTCGATTTCTTTAGAAAACACAAATATTATAAGAATGTGCTTTTGTTTTAATCCCAGGTGTGGGGATGTGAAGCTGCTTCTCATTCTCCGAAGCAGCTGACTATGATTTGCCTCACGCTCTAGCAGAAGCATGGTTTTGCCAGCTGCAGATAATTTCTATGATTGTGTGATGTTTGAAATACCAGGAACTTTCAAAGGGTACATAAATGTGAGGGCTCTGAAAGGCGAGGTGAGCTGCTGCTGGTCATTTAAGGAAGTTGTTTTCAGTTTGTTAGTAGCTGTAGTCAAAGAAGAAACAAAAGGAAAGAAAATAGACTCAGAGATTTTTGTAATTCCTTTCTTTCCCCTATCCTTGTTTCTCTCCTATCTAGTGTTAGTTGGAGTGGGGGGGAGGGTATAAAGGGTGGGAAAAAGAAGGACCTGCAAAGTAGCAAAGGCCAGCTACAACCTGGTTTGGAACCACATTCAGTCCTTCTGGCTCTCCTAAAGCCATGGTTGACAAAACGTGTCCACCTCCCCGGAAAGCCCCCAGGCAGCATGCCTTACTCTAAACTTTGGTGTGGGAGCTCCCAGATCTCATCACCCATGAGCATCTTTAGTTACTTTGTTCCAGGACAGACTCCAGCAGTCTATACTTGTGCATGCTAAGAGTTACAATTGCTTTTGAAGGTACTTTTCAGGTTTTTATTTTTTGTAAATGATCTAATTAATAATTCATAATCTGGTGCTAGAAAGATGGCTCATCACTTAAGAGCACTTGCAGAGGACCAGGGTTCTCACCCCCATGGCAGCTTATAACCATCTGTAACTCCAGTTCCAGAGGAGCTGATGTCCTTTTCTGGCCTCTGCCGGAACACAGTGCACAGACTTACTTGCAAGAAAAAACAACCATGTATATAAAATTTGAAAGTGAAATCTCTTAAGACAATTCACAATTCTTATAGAATACTAAGGAGAGGAAGAAATACCTCATTCAATTCCCTACTCCCTCTGCTCATTGCTTTCACATTCTGAGAGAGACTTTAGTAAATATGCAGAGAATTTAAGTACTTCATTATTTCAAGAGTGCTCTTTCTTCATGGTACATTTTATTCTAAAGTAACAGCCCCCCAAAGCATCTGCTTAATATTCCCCACCATTGCTACCATTTGTGTGTGTGTGTGTGTGACTTCCTAAAAGTAATAAAACAAGTGACATTTTTTTTTGACAGTTCAAAGATACAAAGTATAGTAGTATTTCTTTATCCATAGAAATATTTCTCAGCCTCACCTTGGAATCCTGAAAGCTGTAAAGTGCCAAACCCTATATGCAGGACAGTTTCTGCCTGCAACTTCTGCTGCATTGTCCTTTAGTATATTCTTATGGGTGTGCATGTGAAGGCCAGTGAACAGCCAGTGTCATTCTTCAGCCTGGAGCTTGCTGAGCAGGCTAGGCTTCTGGCTTGGGAGTCCCAGGGATCCGCCTGTCTCTCTTGCCTCCCTCGTGCTGGAGTCACAAGCGCATCCACCCTAACGCGCTCATATGCATTGGTTCTGGGGATGACACTCTGGCATGCTTGCAGGTGCTTGCATGCTCTCCAGCTGCTCCAACGTTTTTAAAGGATGTAAACCTACATGTGTTTATTAGTATGATTATTGAATAATGTGCAGAAACCTGACACTAATCATGAAGACCACAGATGCAAAGGCAGAAGATAAGGCCCTGTTTTCTCAAGTATTGCTTTCATTCCCCAACAGCCAAATGTTAAATGGCAAATTCCAGAAATAAAAGTTTTAATGCCATTCTAAAGGAAGGATGTCGAGCATTTACTCCAGGGGCTGGACAGACAGCTCAGGAGTTAAGAGCACGTGTTGCTCCTGCAGATGACTTTGGGTCCCAGCACCCACACAATGGTTCACAACAATTTGTAACTCCAGTTCTGGAGAATTCAATACCTTCTTCGAAACTCCTTGGACACCAGGCATGCATGTGGTGCAAACACCTACATACAAGGCAAAGCACTCAGAAACAAAGCTTTAAAAATTTTTCTAACTTACTCTAGTCCAACCCAGGCTGTTATGAATGAATCATTGTATCCGGTGTATCAACAGTATATTCCCTAGGCCCTTGTTGATACCCACCTCGGGATTACAGTATCTGTCCCAGTATCCCAGTACTTGTGACTAAGTCACCGTTAGTTTTCTTAATAATGACCCCAAAGCACAAGAGAGCAATACACAGAGGGTATCACAACACATGAAAGAACAGATTAACTCTGCTGCTAAAGAGCAATGCAGCAGAAATTACATGCAAAAACTGTCCTGCATACAGCATTTGGCACTCTGTGACTTTCAGGATTCCAAGCAAGGCTTAGAAATACTTCCGTGGATAAAGAAATACTATACTTTGTATACTTTGTCAAAAAAAATTGTCACTTGTTTTGTTACTTTTCTGAATATCCATTGTCTTTCCAGTCATCTGGAGCATCTCAATGGTATGCCTTAGGTTAATTGCAACATATTTCTTTTTCTTGCCTGTGGCCCATACCTAAAAACCTAAATGAACCTAAAAACCCAACGGCATTTCAAAGAGGTGAGGGAACAGTACTGTGTTATTAATGTGTGCAGAAATGTTGATGGTTCCCACCCACCCTAAAATATGCTTTCTCGAGAGATTCCAGTGGAAACGGTTTTAAATTACATTGTTTAGCTGGGTGATTGTGTAACTGACTGAGCAACTCATGAGGACAGTGTGAGGCAGCTCTGAAAGGAGGAGGAGATGGCCTCTGATCGCGTTTTCTCCATTGTTTGAAATGTTGAGATTCTAGTTAGGGAAAAATAGTCTTCAAGCAAAATTGCCTTTTTGAAGGGTCTTGGTCAGGGGTGCAGAACGTCACCATGCTGGCTGGCTTTATGTCAGCTTGACACAGGTGGAGTCATCTGAGAGGAGAGGACCTCAACTAAGAAAACGCCTCGTTAAGCTCAGGGTGCACACACGCCTGTGGGCGTGTCCTGAATTCGTGGTTGATGGGGGAAGGCCCAGCAACCACGAATGGTGCCCTCCCCTAGGACGGTGGCCCTGGGCTATTCACGAAAGCGTGCTGAGCAAAACTTGAACAGCCAGCAAGCATCACACCTCGTGGCCTCTGCTTCAGCTCCTGCCTAAAGGGTCCTGCCCTGTTTGAGTTCCTGTCTTGACTTCTTTTAATGATGAACAGTAATATGGAAGTGAAAAGCATATAAACTCTTTCCTCCCCAGCTTGCTTTTGGTCCTAGTGTTTGATCACAGCAATAAAAACCCTAACTAAAATAATCTTCCGGCTCCTCCTTGCCAGGCCCCAGCCATGGCCCCCACTTTTGATATCTGACACTGGAATGTAGCCAAGCACAAATGGTAAGGTTCCAGAATTTGGGAATGAACCTTTAAACCTGAGCAGCGCTGCCTCCTCCTCCCGCCCAGCATCCTGTAGGAGGCATCCAGGCATCGCCCTGGGCATTGGGGGAAGGCTACTTGCTCCAGTCCGGGGGAAGCGGGGTTCGGCCCACGAGAGCTGGGAGAACCTGCGCAAGGGTACCTATGACTAGCTCCACTGACCGGTCTAAACTCGCAAAATGAAGAATTTCGAGAACTGTCAAGCACTCCGTCCACACATCTGGGGCCACCCGTGTCACTGCAGCATCAACCTTTAAATACGTCTCCCCTCAATTACAAGAGCAGAAGTCACTCGCCAGCTTTTAGCTAAACTCCAAACTCGGCGAGCGTGCGCGGACCGGGAAGGAGACTGGCGCACCACCACGGGACAGTCCCCGTCTAGCTCGGCATCCCAGGAGAGTCGTTGAAGCGGCCGCAGGCGCTCTCCCAGGACCCCGCGGGGCTGAGTCACACTCCCCGGCTGGAGGCTCAGCTGCACGGGGCGGGGATGGGGCTGGGGAAGCATCTGGACGGAATCCCGCTCGCGTTCCCGGGCGGGGGGCTGCGGGCGCGAGCGGAGGCCGCGGGCACGCGCCCCGCCCGCGGGGCCCCGCCCTCGCCCCTGAACCGCCTCCAAATACTCAACCCTCGGGGCCGCGCAGTCTCCTCCGGTCGCCGCTGGCTCCGACCGAGCTGCTCGGGAGAAAGCAGGCGGCGGCGGGCGCCCGGCCGCGCGGGCAGTCTCGGGACAATGGGGCCGCGGCGCTTGCTGCTCGTCGCCGCCGGCCTCAGCCTGTGCGTTCCCTTGCTGTCTTCCCGCGTCCCCCAGCGCCAGCCAGGTAAGAGCTGCGGGTCGGTGCGCCCGGGCGAGGCCAGCCCCGCGAAGAGGTGCGCCCGGCTTCAACCCTGACTCAGTTTCCAGGAGCCAAACAGGCATGTGGGCCGAGATCTAGAGTCTCCCCTGGTCACAGCCACGTGGGGCTTGTCACCCCCTTTCCTCCCCCTCCCCACCCCCTCGGCGGGGATCTGTTGGACTCGGTTTTGGAGGTGCAGTCCGCGGTCCCCGGGGCTCCGGGACTCTCATTTGTTGTCATCGTGTGGCCTGTTTTGCAAGACCTTCAGAAAGAAAGGCTCTTGCAATTCAGTGCTTTGACCACGCTCGCTGAAGTTTGCTTTGTTGGGACTCTCTTTTTCTCCTTTGGTTTACAAGGAGGGAAAAGCGATGTAAAAGAAAAATCCACAACCACACAATAAAGACTGGACAGTCCCCAGCTCGGCCTCCTACTCAGGGAGGTGATGGGGGTTTCTGGTTGCGGGGCGGGGCGGTGGGTGAGTGCCTTTGTTATCTGAAACCTTTCCTCTGGGTCGGGGAAAGGGACTCCTCAGAATCAGGCTCCCCTAGAAAACATCTAGTCTTCGTTTTTCCTAGTGGAATTTCTCATAAGCTGCCCCAGGACAGTCATCGACAGTGTGTTTTTAAGTATTTGCTTGTTTGACCAAGGAAATCAATTTGGTCCACTAACTTCATCAAGTATTTTCTCTCCTCTCTTCAGAGTGGATGGGTTGCCCGTGAAGTTCCTGATCAGAAAACGAGGGAAATTGTTCTGAACTTCTTAATAGAGATAATATGTTAGAAACCTTTAGCCGTGTCTTTCATGAAGAAAATCTAGTGTGTTCTGTTCGGTTTTTGTTATCGCTGAAAGAATGTGCACTCCCATGCTCCCACACATCAGGATTAAGAGGTGACAAAGAGTAGGGTGTTTCCTGTTCTCTGTCTTTGCTCATTGTGAGCTTGGGTGATGCTCATGGGAAAACTCAGAGCACCCGAGAGGGCCCCCAAGTTTAGCAGCCAGCCTGCCTGCCTGCTTGCCTTTGGGTAGCCATCCGTGGAGGAGAGAAGGAATGAAAGCGTGTGTGGAGAGGGGATTTCACAGAACTTTGTTATTTCCTCACTTCTATTGTGGGACAGACCTTTGAAAATACAGACTTTGAGATCTGGACAATGCAGAGCATAGGTGTGCTCAGCCCTCTCCCCCTCCCCCAACCGATCAGGTCTTCCTCAGAGTGGGCCTCATAGAAAACATTTGTCACCTTGAGGGAGTTAAAGTCAGGGCCTTCAGCTTTCTCCTTCCTCGTGGGAGGGAGCGGGCATGCTCAGGTAGAGAGCCCCAGCCAAAACAGCGACTACTGACAAAGGATGGCTAATATGTTCACTCTGGGTTCTGGGAGCACTTGAAAGGGAAGGAAGAAAGGGGAAAAGAAGGAAAAAGGAAATTCGTGCTAAGTGGAGCATTTCCTGTCCAGCCATGGGGCAGGGGGATTCCATCAACATTGATGCTTCCCTCCTTCACAAAGGTCTCCTTAAGGAGAGACATATCCCCTTTGCTGATTCTAACACCGAGGTACAGACAGATTGAGGGACCTGCTGTTGGCGGAATGGTTTTATGAGTGGTCCCCCACATTGGCTGCATGCCATAAGTGGCCTCACAAATAAAGTCAACCCCAGATAAAGCTACTTCTCATTGGTGCCACATACCATCAATTGTAAACTGTCCCTGTCCTGACACGCTAGCACAGCCTTCATCTTCCCCTACTGCTGGATAGAGTACCCTCAGCGCGCTGGGCGGCTCCACCCATCCGTCCCAGCTTTTCTGTGCCATGTTAGGCGTCTCTCATTCCCTGCCTTGTCCCTTTGTGGGTGTCTATCTCATCTCTCCAGCCAAGATCACGAACTTCTGTTTAGCCCAGTGGTGTCTAGAACAAATGTTTACTCCACAGATATTTGCTGAATGACTTGCAAGTTCATTAAGCAATTTGCCCGGAGCAAACAATTTAGGATCGATGGCTTGTATTCATTAAAGAAGGGTAAAAGGTGATGTTTCAGAATTTTATGAGTTAGAAGGTTTAAAACAAGGTTTGAGAATAACTGATAGTAACTTGGCAAAGTGCACTAGGATTTCAAAGGCTGCCATCCTTATCAGGAGGCCAGGCCTGGTTCCTCAGCAAGCAGTTAGGGGTCCCTGAACAAGGCAGGCCGCAGGGTCTCTCCAGCATCCTTTTTACACATTCTTTGCTTCACCGGCCTCTGTATCTTCCCTCAAGAGTATGTGCCTTCTCTGCCTTTTCCCCCCATGTCACTCCAGGCAGGCGGCCTTTCTCAGCCTCACTTGCCTCTTTAACTATAAACTGCTGCCCTGTATGAAGCTCCTTCCTCAGCTACCCCTGCCGGGCTGCTTCTACCCTGCCGAGGCTCCTACCCTAGCTGTTCCTGCCCTGGCTGCTCCTGGCTGGGTCTGTCATGTGAACTTGCTCTTTTTAGAACCCAGGATTTGCTTCTTTTCCAAAAATCTGTTTCCCATTCTCCTTCCTCCCCTCCTGACCCCTCAGTCATTTCTTTTCATCCCTGTTTTCCTAGCAAACTGGTTAGCTGTGTTCTAAGCAAAAGGACCCAGAAATAATGGGGTTCCCAGAAACGTGGGTTTCTAATGTTTGCGACTCTCCTCATTTGGGGCTAGTGCCCCTCTTTTTCCTAGGAACTCCTGTCAGTCAGTCTCTCTCTCTCTCTCTCTGTCTCTTTCTTGTTTCCCACATTCCTGTCTCCCTCCTTATATTATTTCTTTCAACTGAGATAAAATCCTCAGAACATCGGTCATCTATTCTGAAGCCTGGTGCAAGTCCATTTCATCCACTGTGTCCCATGAGGAATCCTGTGAGCAGTCCAGTCCCCGGTCTCCCTATCTATCATCTGCCCCCTAACAACTGCCGGTTTGCAGTGTGGATTTGTGGATCTACCTGTTCTCACAGTTCTGTCATTTACATGTGGCCCTGTGTGTCTGGGGACAAATCCATGCACTGGGATTCCTAAGTTCTCTGGTTTAACTTCCACTGAGACACCTTCAGACACCCTCACTGTCAGAGCAGTGTTAGGAACTGTGGCTTGCAGGTTTACCATGTTGTACTTTCTAGTCAGACTTCTCTCTTTCCCAGTTTGTGGCTTCTTTTATTCAGCTTTTCCCTCCCTCTTGCTACACCTGTTGGAGTCAATAGCACTCCCTATGAGCCAGGCGTTTTTCCAGGACCTCTTCCGGACCCCACCCCGCCACTGCGTCCTTCCACAGCGATCCTGCCGCAGTTCTCTGCCGTAACCCACTACAGTTACCAAGTGTATGGTGGGGGAGGAGGGTGTGTGCATCCCTGTGCTCTAGCACACATGCACACACACGCACCAGGACAATAGTCATACACGGGCGCTGCAATAAGAACTTAGGCCCTCACACTCTTTTCTTTTTTCCTTTTTTTTTTTACTAAGTATCAGTGAGCTATCTCTCCAGTCCTGTTTGTTTGGTTTTTGAAACCAGAAACCAAGCGTGCAGCACATGCTGCTCACATTAAACTCACAATCCTCCTGCCTCCCAAGTGCTAGAGTGATAGGCATGGACTCCTAGGCCGGAGTTTTGAATTGAGGGTTTTATCCCCGCCAACCCCTTATAACCTCTGTGCACCATTTGCCTTCACAAGTGACTTAGCTATTTTAAACCACACAACTGATCTGGTTTGCATGCGGCAACAAGAAAAGCTGCACAGCTTTAGGAAGGGACATTATAGAATGTCTGTAAAATGGCACCAAATAAACTCCTCCCCGGCTACTTTACAAATGAATGAGACTGAGAGGATTTTATTTGGCTCAGGCAGTTATTGGAAGGCTACCCATAGGCTACTTTTCTACTCGCTGGACTGACCATTTCCCCAGCTCTATACCCCAAACACTTGCTGTTTGAATCTTCTGGATTATTCCTGGCCCAATAGTCCAGTGTACTGGGGGATGGTTTTACTTAGGCACGTGTTACTGGCTTCTCGTGGCTTTGACTCCTTTTCGGTTTTGTCCTTTTCCCCTCCAGGCAGGTAACTCTAGTCCCTACCTCTATTGCCTCCAGTGACTGGCTGCAGATAATTTTTTTTGTAGTTTTTAAAAATTTTTATTATTTATTACCATGTATTCACTTTGTATCCCAGGTGTGGTCTCTTGCCAATCCTGCCCTCCCTCCCTCTTCTCCTCTCATGCCCCTCTCCCAGTCCACTGATTCTCCTCCCCTTCTCTCTGACCCTAGCCTATCAGGTCTCATCAGGACTGGCTGCATTGTCTTCCTCTGTGTCCTGGCAAGGCAGGCCCTCTCAGGGGGAGGTGATTTTATTTAACCAATAGTTTTAAATTGGGAAACAGTTTACACAACAAGGGCTGGTATACTGAGAATCTACTCTTAGGAAGGCAGGGAGCAAAACAGTTAACGTTTGAATAGATAGCAGTTCCAGATCTATCCTAACAAATGTCCTTTACTTCACTGTATTTAAAGTTAGGACAAGTTGCAAATTTCTTGTACTGCAGAAACATATGGGGGTATTTTATTTTTGTTTGAGTAAGCAATACATTTTACATTCTGGCACAGTTGGAGTATATACAGTAACATTCAGGGTACTCACGTTGTCTGACACACACAAAGCGAAGTTTGCCAGTGAGCTCTCACCTTTTCCATGTGCTATCCATTCTCTAGTCTAGTTAAAGTAGAACAAACAAACAAAATGCATAGGAGAGTGGAGACACGCCTCAGGAGTTAAGAGTGCTTACTGCTCTTGCAGAGGACTCAAGTTTGGTTCTCAGGACCTGGGTCAGTCAGCTCACCACTGCCGGCAACTCCAGCCCCGGGGAGACTGCACAGCTCAGCCCTCTGTGGGCAACGGCACTCACTTGCACAGACGGTCCCCAGCAAGGACACGCACACACATGCGCTACACATCATTGCAGGAAATGACATCTTAAACACTCATGGCAACCTTACAAACG